ATCAAAATCAAGAATCTATTCGTAGATCATTCTAGAATGCGATTTCCTAATTTGGTATATTCCCAGACTGAAATATTGGTTATTAACTGAAATTATTAATAGTAAATTATGTATTATTAATAATTAATTATGAATTATTAATTATGAATTATGAATAATTAATTATTAATAGTTAATTATGAGTTATAATACAGAAAATATGACCGTAATTATAATAATTTAAAATATTAATGATATTTAACAAACCTGTTTCATTCGAACTTGTCAAAATAGATGTTTCGCTTATATCTAATAATTATTTATCATAAAACGGTTATCAATTATTCTAATAATTTTGACATAAATTTTATAAAACAAACCTATCAAATCTGCTTCTTGACCATCATTAAAGATATTCGGAGCATCGGCATTAGGAATTTCTATTTATTTTTAAATAATTTCGATTAAAAAAAAAAAAATTAAATTAATTGTAAAAATTGTATTGTAAATCAAACATACACATATATATATATAACTAACCAGATGAATTGGATTCTTGAATAACAGAAACATTATCAACATCTTCATTGTGATTAGTTTGTAGATCATTTGATTCATCAACATTAGGACTATCTTGATCCACAACTGTCAATTGCTGAAATCTTTGTACTAAAAATATATTATGATTTAGATATTATAAATTTATAAAAGAATGGAATGTAAAATATGTGCTAATAAGATTTAGCAAACCTATCGAATATATTTGTTGAGACGAAGCATAAATGCGACGATCATGAGCACCTAGGTCATCATTTTCATAATTATCTAGTCCTGGAACCATTACTAATAATTTGTTTAAATAATTTTAAAACTTTAATTAAATTTATCCACGGCTTGCAATTAAATCATAACAACCAAATAAACTACCTAAAGAATTACCTGAAGGATTATTATAGACTGGGGATAATTTTATGTCTTTTAGCCTATCACGGATTTCATTTGTGTTGGGACGGTTATTTGGTTCAGCGTCCCAAGCAGCACAATAAAGATTCACAAAATCAATTGGAGTTCCATCAATTGGAGTTTCTCTTTCGCCTTTAATTACTCTTAAGCTTATGTCTCTATGATCAGAAATATCTTTGAATGGAGGAACACCACTTGACAGTTCCCAAAAAAGCACACCGAGACTATAAATATCAGAATATTTGCCTCTTTTATAGGAGAATATATTTTGTAGATATTGTGGATCAGAGTAAGCGCATGTTCCACCAGGGATAGATTGGGAGCTATTTTCAGCAGTTTTAGATAAACCAAAGTCAATAATTATCAATTTATCATCATGTACCAATATATTTCTATCATGCTAAAAATAAATTTACATGTCAACAAGTGTATAAATAATAGAATGAAATAAATCGAGAAAAACTAATAAATAAACATACAAGATCTCTATGAATAATATCAGCATTATGTAAACAATTAACACCACTGGCAATTTCTTTTGCCATTTTGATCTTTGTTGGCCAATCCAATTCGGAAAAATGAGTATGCAAATAAGAACGAAGATCACCGTTGTTTGCGAATTGAAGAACCATATAGTAAGTTTCATTTCTAGTGTCTTAATATGTTTATAAATTAGAAATTTAATAAATTTAACAAATTTATTATAATATGAAGGAAGGATACCTTGCGTGATTCCGATTATATTATCATGATAATCAACTTTAGCAATGTTTCTAACCTTAATGAGACAGAGACAAATTACAGTAAGATATTACAAAAAGAAAAGCATAATAATTAACATTAATCGAAATAATTATAAAGATGGTGATTTATACTTCTCTAATGAAGCCATCAAAAGATTCTTCGTTATCTTTAGTAGGTCCATCATACAAGCACTTTAAAGCAACAACTTTATCAGCATCTTTAAGATAAGCTTTAGATACAATGCCAAATCCGCCTTTAGCAATTGGCTTAAAAGCTTCAAATGAACTATAATCAAATGATTTAATAAATCCTTTTTTAATAGCCTCAATGAACCAATCTTTTTTCGATGACATTGTTTAAAAGTTATAAAAGATATTCTTTTCAAAAAAGGTTTTTAAGAGTTTAATATTTTATTATAAATGATGAGATTTTGTAAATTTAACGGCACGTAATAAACTAATATTTAGTTAAAAATCTTTATTATAATATTCGTGACACAATAATGAACCAATAAGCTAAGAGAAACATTATATATTATTAATCTCAATTACTTACATCCTAAAATTGGCGATTTTTAATTAACCTTTAAGTTACCTTGTGAATATTAATATGAAAGAAGCATTATTATTATTACTAATTGTCAGAAGTTTTTCGTCCATATGCACGTATGGGGCCACATTCTAAGAAATGAATAATTGCAAAAAAACAAACAAATTTATGAAATTTATGAATTAATTGATCCAGTGTAACAAGATGATATCTGATTCGGAGTTTCTAGAGTTTTTAATAACAGTCTCGCCATCCATTAATTTACTTGTGAAGGTAAGATCATTAAATTTTTAAATTTGTGTAAAGTAGATTAGTCGTCAAGACCACGTTAAATTTGATATATAATTTTTTTGTTATTTTGTCTACTAATTCGAATAATTCGGATAGACTATCATATGATCTCAGCATTTTGTCTATTCATCTATTTGTGTAGATAGATGGATTACATGATTAACAATTAAAAACAAAAATTATATATCGCACCGGTGGTCGATTTTCCGAACAATTTTTTGTACAAATTTCTAACAATAATTATTTATTTATGTACAACATTTATTGTATATT